ATGCACTGAGCGGTACCGAGCATGTACTGAGCGATACCTCATTTAATAACTGGACACGCGTGTCTGATTTTAATTTTAATTTTTTTTATTGTGACACTCCAATGCCGTGTCGGACACGTGTCCATGCCGTGTCGGACACGTGTCCATGCCGTGTCCGACGCATGTCCGTGTCCGACACGTGTCCGACACTGCATACCCTCTCTAAGTGCCGTGTCGGTGCATCATAGCTTAGCTTATAAGGGAAGGCAACAATGAGGCTAGTGGTGTGAAATGTATACTCTGTCTTATTTTAAATTTGCTTCTAGAAATCAAAGGACTATTCCTCCAAGACACACAATCACCTTTAACTATATGACATCAACATATAAAGATAGGTCAAAGAATATGTCATTCTATTGTCCATCAGATCTACATGAAATTCTTCAGTCAATAATTTCATGGAAGTATATTCAAAGAGTTATGTCAATGTTATGAGATGTCTCTTTTGACTCAAATACATTAGACCACCTATGGGGGAGAATATGAGAGTTTATAACAAGTAATATAATTCTCCTACGAACACTAGCACGATTTCCTAATGCTTATTGAACAAGCATTTCCTGTGAACTATGTTGAGTGGGATATTAACAACAAAGGGATATCTTCTATGTGCTATAAATGAAACTTGAATTAGAACAACGCCACCGGATCCGCAATATGTGTACAAGCGGACAGAAGGTGTTCGTAGGCCCTTAAATGAAATCTCGGACCATTTTCTAAACGAAATCACTTGCACAATGGATCATATTTAAATATTTTAAAATGCCCCTTATGTATTAAATATAATCTCTTAAACTAAATATACCCCTGCAAGTGCTCTGGTCAACAAGTTAAAAGTATAAACACTAATGATCGAAAATGCTGTGCAGGGTCAAATGATATAATTCGCATGTGCTCCAATCGTCACATCTAAGTTCCAAATCTAACGATTTGAAAATGTTGCACTGGTCTAATATTCAAGTTTCATCATCCTCCTCAAAAGGACTGGAGTCAACATGACTTGAAGTATAAAATGCCTTCCAAATTCCTACAAAAAATACAAGCGACCTTAATGTCACCCCGATGATGGCCGTGTTGACAGGAAATCTCAATCGGAGGGGTCAAATCTCAAATCAAACAATAGCTCAAATTCTTGAAATAAAATTAATCCAAAAAAATCATCCACCTCCCGCAACCGTTTGTCGGGGGTGATAAATTTGAAGTTAACCTCAGCTCACAAAAAGCAAATGTTATGTCGGGTGTATCACTATGATTCATCCTCAAATAGTCTCTTGCCAACAGGGACGTGGCACGTGCCCTCTGATCGAGTGATTTTGCTGCAAAATGACACCATTATATTATGATCACGGTTAAAGCTCGTATGTTCCCTAGAGGCTTCAAACCCTTGAATTATGAATCATAGGGTATATTCGATAGGCATAAAGCCCTCTATGAGCTAAGGTGGATTCAGATATATTCCCTTAGATAAATACCAAAGGTATTCTTGGACAAAGCAACACATGGCTGCCAACAAGGTGCCTTCTATCAGGTTGGGTCGACTACCTCCTCTGACTAAGTAGACCAGGGATCATGATAGCCCGGGACGACGGAACCATGGGATCTTGATCGGGCTCGTCTTCATTCCCCCCACCACCAGTTTTAAGTTTGTGGTGATAAACTCTAAATTTCAAACTTCCAAATTCAAAATTTAAACCCTAAAATTATTGCTATTATACGATATGTTTATAACCTATTCTACCTCTTTTACGACTAGCCTTAATCGAAAGTTCTCTCTCATTATCGGGAGGGGTAATTAACTATAGGAGGTTGCGCCTATAAAAAACCAGAACTTAGATAAAAAAGTCCTCACAAAATGAGGGCGAAATCTCTTGGTAGTGTCTTATCTAAAACCTAATCTGCCTTATGAAAATTCCCCCGGAACTTAATCTCGTTAAAACTCTCTGTCGCCATCGTCATACAAACACTCAAAAGAAAATTGACGGATGGCATGGAGAGGCCGGGATCACACAACATCAAAAAATGGAATTTTCGGAGCCCACAGCATCCTCGTTCAGGTAATAAATTGTTGAATTTCATTAATTAACGGATTAAGAGACTAGCAAAAGTCTACAAATTCAATTAATAAAGCACAAAGCAATCATATAATAAAACCAAAAAATAAAGAAGTAGAAATAGATCCTCTCAAAATATCTCCAGCTAATACAAACCAACCCTTCTCCAAATTTTAAGCCTCTAGTGGTCAACAGTCAATTGAGATCATAATTTGTTTGGTTTTTTAAAAGCAAACTAAACAACGAGGCTATCAACAATAAGATAGAAAAGTTATAATTGGCTGAAACGATTCTCTTGCCAACATTCCACCAAACTACTTAAACTTGAAAGGAGATAAAACTTGCAGCAGCAAATCTCTTGAGGGAGACGACTATCACTTCATCTAAATAATTCCCTTTATTAGAAATGGGTGCGTTGGGTTTTTTTTTTTAATTAACAAAAATGTAATTGGAATATTTGTATTTTTGTCAACTTACATCATCAATTTGTCGCTCCAATTATTCATCCAAATAGCTTGGGGTCAGCTCTCTAATTTTTTTTTCATTGAAAGTTGAAACACATTCCAATTTAAGTGCCAAAGTATAATGATCTCAATAGCTTTCAGTTCATTTTACTTCATATTTTTTGCTCAAAAAAGTCTTGAGCAACCTTCCTCATCCATCTTTGGACTAGCAAAAGAATTGTTGAATTTCATTAATAAATAAAGGGTCCTTGAAAATGTCTAAGAAACCAATTAAAAATGCCCAAGTAAGCAGTAACCATATAGAGCCTTTCTAAATACAGAAAAATCCATCTCTAACTCTCTTCAACTAATCAAAACTAATTATTTTCCAATTTTTAAACCTGAAGTAGTCAACATTCATCAGAATGAAAACTGATTTGATTGGTTTTCTACAAGCAAACTGAACCAAGAGGCAATGCAACAATAAGCCAAAAGAATTAGAGTTAGATGAGAAAGTTCTTCCTGCCAACATCCCACCAAACATCTTAAAGCTCAAGTTAGATGAAAAGTATCCTCTAGCCAACAACCCACCAAACTACTTAAGATTCAAAACAGAGCACATCAAAATTGATGTGAGAGTTTTTTTTTTTTTTTAGGGGGGGGGGAATTGGGTTAATGCCCAAACACACAACACATACGCGAGACTCCCAACTAACAAACCAAGGAGAGCTGCGTATGCTAGAACCAATAAGACATCTAATTACATATCAAACCTGCCTGAAGTACTCATCCAAATCACTTGCAGTCAGCCCTTTGAATCTTTCATTGCCAGTTTGGAACTCAACCCAATTTAACCATCTCAATAGTTTTGCTACTTCATTTTACATTTGAGTTTTGCTTCACAATGCTTCAATCAAACTTCCCTTTCCATCCTCGGTCATGCTATAAAATTGTTGAATTTCATTAATTAATAGATTAGGAGGCTAACAAAAGTCTGCAAATTTAATTAAAAAGGCTCAAATATACAGTAATCATGCAATAAAACAAAACAAAAAATAAACAGAAACATAACCTCTCTAAATATCTCCAGCTAATACAACCAACCCTCCAAATTTTAACCTCTAGTGGTCAACAACAAGTTGAAATACTGATTTGATTGGTTTTTTTTAAAAGGAAACCGAACAAAGAGACTACCAGCAATAAGAAAGAATCACAGAAAACTTATTTTAAGCCGAAAAGCCCTTCTTGAAAACATCCTACCAAACTTCTTAAAACTTCCTAGTAGATATAACTTGTTGCATTAGATCTCTTCTGGTGGATGACTATCTCAAGCTTTTCTGAAATAATACACACACACATATATATATATATACCTATGAATCCAATAAAATGCGCAAATAAGCAGTAATCATAGAAACAACCCGTCTCAAACTCTCTCCAGATAATAAAAACCAATTCTTTTCCAATTTTCAAAACTCTACTAGTCAACATTCATCAGAATAAAAAACTGGTTAGATTGGTTTTTTTAAAAACAAGCTGAACCAAGTGGCAATGCAATAATGAATCAGAAGAATTAGTATGAAAAGTTTCTTCATTCCAACATCCCACCAAACACCTTAACGTCCAACATAGAGACTTTGCACATCAAATTTCTTGAGGGAGATAATTCTAAGTATCTATCAGTTTTCAAGCATGCAATAAAAACACATTAATTAATTAAAACAGAAGAAAAAAAGTCACAGCACAGGCCTCATGGTGAGAGCGGGAATGGAGAGAGAAATGCTGTTAGAGTTTTGCTATTACAAAGGCTTCACCAATTCACCCATAATTTTGAATTCTCGGACTATCCCCTGGCCACTTTCAACAACTATCCCATCACCAATTTCTCCATCTCTCCCACAACAGTTCCTGCATTAGATTAAAATGAAGAATTGCGATAAATCAGGTTAGGGTTTGGAATAAATTAAAGTTAGCATTTTTTTATCAAAGGGAAGAATTTTATTCGAGTAAAATTTGAAACAAATGTTTAATTAATATAAATTTGAATGACCTTTAGGGCTATCTCGATACAAGTAGTATTTAACTCAAATTGAATTTAGTAAATTCTGAACATTCTGTTTGGATGCAGGATTTAGGCTGGATTTGGGGCGGATTTGAGCTAAATCCAGCCAAACGACCAAAAATGCAACGGTAAATCAAAGCCGCGGTTGACCGAAAATTCCCTCTTTCGTGGTAAATCCCGGAATTAAGAAATCCTTCGGTTCGGCGGATTTAAGCCATTCGTGTGGCGCGAGGGAAAAAGAATCCCAATCCCGACCGAAGAAGAGCGCGAAAGGGGAGAAATATTGTTACCTTCGTAGCAAGCTCCCGGCGCGGCATCCGATCCGACAGGAACAACCTCGGAGGAGGAGGAGGAGGAGGAGCTTGGACAAGTTCAGATCTCTACTTCACGAGAAGCAGAACACAGCGAATAAGGGTGCGTTTGCGATGGCTGCTGTAAAATTGTTCTATAAAAGAACTGCTTTTTTTAAGTTTGTAAAAAAAAGTATGAAAATAAATTATTTTTATACTATTTTATATATAATATATATATATATATATTTATACTCTTATTCTTATATATGAAAATAACTAAAGTAATTGGGTTGGACAAAATCTCTTAGTCGACAGTCAAAGCTGTCAACCAATAAATGAAGATGAGATATGTAATATCACTAATATTAATTTATTTGAAAAAAATTTAATATTTTCAAAAGATAATTTTAAACTCTAAAATGATATGTAAATAATTATAAATTTTAGATATTTAATCTATAAATATATATAAATTTTTGTGCTGAGTATATAAAATCATCTTTATTTTATTTTTAATTTAAAGTGTTAGATATTGTTATGAAATCTGATTATGTTGATTGATTGGTTTGTACTATTGACTCAAACCTCAATTTCATTACTTCAGCTCATTGGGACACATTGAATCCTTCTGAGACATAAAACATAGTGTTGCAGTACTACAGTCCATTAACATTAAATCAAATTTAATCAATTGAATTTTATGTAACTTTTGAGAAAGTCTTGCATTTTTGTATAGAAATCTATATAATTTCTCCTGTTTTTTAACCATGAGAGGGGATAAGGTTGTTGGCCTGTTAGGTGAAATTGAAGAGATTAGTAGGTGAAGGCAGCTATCAAATCTATTAATGAGTAATGTTTGGGTGATTAATATTTTCCTTATATCAATACTAATATTGTCAATGTCAAACAACAATGATCAACATAAAAGATAAAACACAAAATACCAAAAAATGTTTTTATCACTCTCATTTAATTGTCTCTTATGAGAGTGAGTATGCTAAAAGATAAAAAGATTTTTATTTGAATGATAAAAAATAAATTATAGGATAAAGCTATTTTATTGGATTATGAAATACAATATAAAAAATATATAATATATTTAAAACTATTATGATAAGTAAAAAATAAATGTAGTTGATTATTTTAACCATATATATATATATATAATAAAAATTTAATTCGGATCCATCTATCATCCGTATTTCTAGTTATATTCTATAAAACTTTCCCTAATTTTTACGAATAAAAATGAAGACCATTTATTTTCTAAAACACAGATCATCATGTAAGAGAACTCCATGATCAGTACATGAAAAGCTGTATGCAAATATCTAAACAATTCAAATAATTACAAACATGCAAATAATTTAGATTTTATGATCTGAGTTTAGATCAGTAGCTGCAGAAACTTTTTATTATTACTATTACAGTCAAGACCAAATCGACTCCACGGAGACTCTCAGCTCCTGCAAGTTGCCCCCAATATCCTTGCGGTCTGTTTCCGGCGATCTCCACGGTGGTCTTTCAGTTTCAGCAGCCACTTTTTCGCCGGAGAAAGTTCTTCTTTTGCTGATTAGCGAGGAATTGGCGGGCGGAAGTCGGTCTATGGCGACAGAGAGGGCGTCTTCAGGGTGGAGCAGCTCGGAGAGAAGGAGCACTAGAGAAGCCATTAGAGAGAAAGAGATGAAAATTTTCAAGAAAGTCGATTGATTGCGGAGTTTGGGACGAAGGAGGGATTCAGGCTTTACAGTATAAGTAGGGCAGCGCGGGCGGATGAAACCGTGGGCTGGCTAAAGGGAGAGGACAGCTACGGCGAAAGAAAATTGCGATAGGGGGTCCTACTTTCGAGCATTAAATGCACTTTAATAAAATTTAAATAATTAAATAATATTATAAA